ACCACCCGTTCTAGATCTTTCTTGCCAACCTCCTGGGATGAGGAGAAGGTGCCGGGTAGCCCGTGCCCTTTTTTTGGGCGTCGCTTAGGGCGTAGGGTTTAAGGTTTAGGATTTAGAGTTTAGCATGTAGGGTTTAGGAATCGCGCCCTTTGAATTGCGTGTCTTTTCGACGACTTAAAGATTATGGGATTTGGGATTGCAGGGTTAGGTAGAAGTTTTCAAGTTTCAGGACTTCGAGTTTCCGCATGGTTTTCAGATGCATGTAGTCCCCTGGCCCAACGAATCTTCAGCTTGTATGCTGCAGATTTATGAAATCATCGGGTACTGATGTGTCTGAGCGCCTTAGCAATCTCCATACCCCGAAGCCCGCGAATCGTAAGCCCGAAACCCTAAACCAGTGAACCCCACACCCTAAAAAGTTCAGACTTCTAGGCCTTCATTCCGCGAGGACCCCTGGCATCGAATCCAGTGCTAAAGCCTAACAGAAGGGCTTTAAAACATGGACATGTAGGGTTTTGGTGTATTCTGTAATATATTCACACTAAGAAACCCTACTTTTAACAATTGTATAGGCTTCCGTGTTACACCCTAAACGCCTGCACCGAAATCCTTTAACTAGGAAGGACCAAGGTCGGCCAAGTGTCTTTGAAGTGCCCCTCCACCAAGATGCAAGAGTACCTAAGTCAGGGTTTCGAGTTTCGGCATACTTGAAGGAGCATGGGTCAGTTTTACGGTTATAAAAATGAGGCGACCATACTGATAACGACTTATAGCCGATTTCAAGCACTTGTATACTCTCTGATACTCCAAGTAGGTCTGATGGTTTGGAGCGTTGGCTTCAGGCTAATTAAGGGCTGCATGTTCTGGAGCAACAGTACCAAAGCCAAACACAAAAACGCGCCTGCCGACAACAATAGCAAGCAATCCTCAACCCCAAACCCTAAACCTAAACCACTAAACCCTAAACCCTAAACCCTAAACCCTAAACCTAAACCCTAAAACCTAAACCCTAAACCCTGATGACTACGATGATACTGCTAGTAGCAGTAGCAAAAGAAACGACTGAAATAACGCTGGTCAGGATGGTGAGGCTGCACAAACCCTTGTTAGGTTTGAGGATTGGGGTTTAGCTGGACCCCAAAAGTCTGTAACATAATAGGCCTTTTATAAGCTTTGGGCCATTATTGTACCTACTTTTGGGGGGTTTAGGTAGGTTTAGGGTTCGTGCTAAGGTAGGAATGAAATCAACTGGGGCCTTGTCCTTCAATGGAGACGGACACGAGTCATCCGGAAACACGGTTTAGGGTTTAAGGCTTAATTTAGGGCGGAAGCAGACTGCGTAGAACAGTGCCTAAATCCTGGACCCTCAAACCTAAAATCCTCAATTAACCCTCTCTTCTGCTAAAGGCAAGTCCCAGTTACCCCTGCTCAACCGCCCAGTCAAACTTCTCCTTCGCCTTCTCCCAGTCGCTGAAGCCCTCGTCCTCGCCAGAAGACTAGTTGGAGGATCAGGGACTCAGCAAGATAGGTAACCCTAAACCCTAAACACTTAACCCTAAACCCTAAGACCTAAACACATAACCTAAACCCAAAACCCTAAACGCTTAACCCTAAACCCTTAACTGGGTTTCGAAGTACCTATAAGCATAGTTACCTCGATTTATAACCTTAGTGACTAAGCTTCATGATCCTTCAAGTAGTAGGGGCAACTGCGGCCAGGGGTTTCGAGTGTAGGGTTAACTAGACTGAAGATCGGGGGTTATGAGGGTTTACAAAGTTTCATAGGGCCTTACGATAAATGGGCTGGGGTGTTGGGTACATATACTAACGTATATACATATAGGCCCTGGAGACTATGACGAAGGGTTCTTTAACCTAGTTTTCTAGGAGACTTTCATTTAGGTAAGTAAGCATTCCGTGCGAATTTCAAGAAGCATCGATATTCGTGTCACTGGGATGAGGGGTTTTTCAGGATGAAGATGCTCGGGCTTCGGTTGGCTCGGGCTTCGGTTGAAGGGCTTGAAGGTTTTAAGGTTTAGGGTTTAGGGCTTATAGGGTTTAGGGTTTTGGGGGTGAGACGTGTAGGCGTGCAGGAGTGCAGGCCGAAGGCTGAAAAACACACATTTCCGACCACTTAAACCTGCAATTCCCACAATAAACCAGCCGGTGGCATATCCCATAGTTGCTCATGGTATAGTCTTATGTAGTACATATAGGAGTTGTACATGTGAAAAAACGAGTATAAATGGAAAAGTACGCGGTGAGGGCGTCTTTCAACCAAACCTCCCGCCAGAAGAACATGAGGTTCAAGACTCATACATACATCATCCCGTAATCGGCTCTAAACCCTCATCCCTTAACGGTAACCCTAAGTTTACAGACTTAACTCTGCGACAAGGCTGAAGATTCGAATGATGTAAGGTCTATAAGGACGTAGGTGCTGGAGCATAGGTTTTGCCGGAACCACATTGGAACAAGGAGGGGTAGGGTTGGGGTTTAGGGTTCCGTTTCCGCTTCGGATCTAGATACAGATTGCGGTCCTCATGGCAATAATCCTAGCAGACACTTTAGAGAAAAAGGCACACCACTAGGCCCTAAGAGGTGCGATGTGTGCTTTGTTAAATGGGAGTTTCCGAAAATAGGGGACCCTAATATAGTACCCTAAATAGTAGGATCCTTATTATAAGGACCCCAAAATAAGGTACCCTAACTTCCGGAAACTCCCAAATAACTCCAACCGTCGTCTTCCGAAGCTCACATATGGAGCTGCTTTTCCGGGTCCCATTGTCATTGCTAAGGGAGGGGTCAGCATGCATCCTTCTGCGTGAAATGTCGCGAAGTCTCCAATCGAGCAGTTTGAGCAACTCTGAACCCTAAACCCTAAACCCTAGACCCTAAACCCTAAGCCCTAAACCGTTCAGGTACCCGGGGGTTCAACCGGCCCATCGTGGCCGCCGGGGGCCGGGCGAGGTGGCCATCGCTGAGGCTCTGAAGGTGTCAGGCGACGGCCATATCGCGCTTCATCTTCCCATCCATGGTCGGGTAGGTATTGGGGCCTCAACAACACCGTAGGGGTTTAGGGTTTAGTGTTTAGGGGCTGTACCAACTACGATTGCTGATTGTTCCGATCCCTACATTAAGCCTTCTTGCCGTCGACCGTGAGCGCACTTCGGCTCGCCATCCACGTGCTGCCTCTCATCGGTGCCTCCCCGTCGTGCTCGTAGATTCGTAGATGCCGTCGATCGCAAAGCTGAGTCCTCCTCCCGTGTCGAATCCTCGCCCCATCACGGGGCCCTTTGGATTTGAATCTCTTGGCTGATTTCCCTTGAACCACTCTCTGAGGGGCTTCGTGCTCCAAATTCAGCAGGCAGTCTGCTGAATCTGGAGCACGGAGCCCCTCTTTACTTATCCTCTGGATATTCCAGTTCTCGAGTGCCAGTGCTCATCAGCGGTCATTCGCTTCCCCTAGCTCCTTCTCGCGGTCCTTCGCTTCCCCCCGCTCCTTACACATCCAGCTGGTTGTCCGTATGGGTTGTACACGGTGCAGCCCAACTCCATCAAACCGATGAAGGAATCGAGTCGCTCAGTCGACAATCCCAAGACCGACAACCATTTTCAGATGCACCAGCCTCTCTCCGGACGGTTTTGGGCTTAGGGCAGCACCCTCTCCATCAGTGGCCGATCAGGTCGCTGGGTCCACTTTCGCGGCTCGCCCCGGCGCTAGCCATGTGCTGTGCCGGACACGGAGGCTGAGCACCCTAAGCCCTAATCGAAACGTCTTTGAGCTGCTTAGGGTCGATACATGCCAAGTGGAGTGCGACCAAAGCGTTCAGACTAGCCAGTTGATTTGGGATGGCCCACGAATTCACACAAACATGGGAGAACGGGGTTTAGGGCTTCGTGCTTGGAGGTATTAGGGTTTCTATGCGACCAAATGACGATCCTCCTCAGATCACCTTCCAAAACACACCCCTTCCTGCACACCCGACTGTAAACACCTCTTGTGCCTCATACGGTCGATGATATAAATCCTGCATCACCCATGATGAAAAACATACCACAATTCCCATAGTTTAGCGTCCTCACTGCAATGCAGGATTACATCATCAGCAGTACTGTATCATAAGACATAGGGCTTGAGACCGCAAGCCCTGAACCCGGAATCTAAACCTCTTCCTGCAACTTCAGAAAGGAAACCCTAAACCCTAAACCCTAAACCTCACGAAGACCAGGAGCCCCTCATCCGCCAAAAAAAACCATGGGTTTAGGGTTTAGGGTCAGGGTTTAGGGTTTAGGGTTTAGGGTTTAGGGGCCTTGCTAGATTTTAGTGGTGTGAAGCCTTTCTTGTCGTGTTTATTGATGTTGCATTGTTGCTTCTTGTCGTCGTTTTCAAGCTGTGAGTATGCTAAGGGCTCCTTTCCATGCACGGGTTAGGGTTACAGTGTGGGGTTTTGGAGATGTTGGTTTTAGAGGAGCTTTGTACAGTTTGATGCAGGCCTGCTTACGGAGGACAGAGTTTTGGTGGATATGAACGTATAAACCCACAGAAAGGGAATACTCTCAGAATTGATTAATACCCTCAGGCTGAACGAGAGCCCAACTAACTTGTACAGTATGGTGCTTACTTACAAGATATGAGTCCTTAGAGCCTTAGGGCTATGTTACGAATTATAAGCTGAAATGAAACCATGCGTAAACACACAAAGGAAAAGTTTAAAGCCCCATGAGAGCCTATAAAGGGCGTTCGCTAGTGGAACAGCCCAGGTCCATAAACAAACCCTCTTGGTGTTTGAGATTTAGGGTAACACACCCCTGTCACCCCTCAAACCTAAGCCCTAAAAAACAGACAACAAAAGCCCCTATCAAGGCCCCAGTGCAACCTCTTTAAACCCCTATAAAGCCAGCACCCCCCTAAACCCTAAACCCTAAACCCTACCTAAACCCTGAAGCCCTCAACCCCCCAAAGCCCTAACATCCCTTGCAAATTGGAGCCGTGGTGCTGGTCTACTTTGAGGTCCATGTTGGGCATGTCCACCGGCCTTGCTCGAGGGTTTAGGGTTTAGGGTCTCCGCACAGGGTGTTAGCTCTTGAGGGCTGAGGGTAGGGTTTAGGGTTCTGGGTTCGGGGCTGAAGGGTTTTGGGGCCGCTGTAGCTACTAGGGCTGAGCGGCTTCGTAGGGCTTTAGGGTTGAAGGGTTTTTTGTCGAATCTATGGTCTTCAAAGAAGCTCTTAAGATTTGAGGTTATGCTGCTGACACGGAGTCCGCTATCCGTCGACTAAGGGGTGTCGGCCCTAAACTCTGAACCCTAAACNNCTGAACCCTTCAACCCTGAACCCTAACCCATCATTTGGCTAGTGGCCTAGTTTAGTACACCGGAGCCTTGGGCATGGGGTGTTCTTCTTTTTGTTTTTTCACAGCACTTATGTTGGAGCTTAGCAGGGGATCAGTACCGGGGCTTAGGGAACAAGATTTATGGGGAGATGATGCGTGTATATATATATATAT